TTTTTTTCCGGCTCTCCGATCTTCCAGATGGTCGGTGTTTCCAGCGCTGGGAGGAGACAGCAACCTGGACGTTTTGTCTTCTGACTACTGGGACAGCTAGACAGGAAGGATGAAGAGGAGGAAGGTGACATTATGTGGAGAGCAGTAGGAGAGGAAAGCTGATGCCTTCATCACCTCAGCAGAATATGATCAGCTGTCATCTCCTCCTCTTCCTCTCATCTCTGCATCAGCTGAGTCTTCCTCACAGCTTTCATCAGCCACCTTCCTCCCCTTCTTTAGTCTCTCTCACACACACACCCCTGTTAGCTTCCAGTTGACTTCCTGTCAGCTCCAGTTTACTTCCTGTCATCTCCAGTTGACTTCCTGTTAGCTTCCAGTTGACTTCCTGTTAGTGTAGTGATGTTTTGGGCTCAGCTCAGTTGTTTCCAGTCTATTAATGATGAACTTTGATCTGAAGCCCCAACATTAAGCTGGAGGAAAGTTTAAGACGTTCGTCTCGTTATACATTCAGTTTTACTTTCTTTAAACTTTGTGGCTAACAGTAGCTTTAGCTTATGCTAGTAGGCAATATTCTCTGACCTTTTTCTTGTAAAAATTTGCTATTTAAGTATCTAAACATTTTTCATCTATTGTAACGACAATGTTTGTACCTTATTGTGTTTATTGAGACTAACAGGGATTTTAGGTTGAAGCCTGATGAAGCTTCACAGTGGAGCAGCTGGATGTCAGAGTTCAGAGTTCAAGTTCAGCTGACTGTTCGGGTTCAGAGTTGTTCCTTTTAGGAAAATATGGCCGTGTTGCTGAAAGTCTCGGTGTTATTTAGTTTCATTAGATGTGAAGCAGGACGATGTTTCCAGCGATTTGCCGGCTGGTTGATCTGATCTCTGTTCCCAGAAGTGACTCCATGGAAACAACAGGAACGAATCCTTCTGAAGAATCTGATCCGGAGTGAAGTGAAGGCTTGAACTGGTAGGTTTAACTGGTTTATCTGGTAGGTCTAACTGGTTTATCTGGTAGGTCTAACTGGTTTAACTGGTTTATCTGGTAGGTCTAACTGGTTTATCTGGTAGGTCTAACTGGTAGCGATGAATGTTACAAGCCTTCGTCTTCTTAATTCAGGATTGTTTGGAAATCCATGTGAACGTAAAAATCCATTTTATGAGGAAAACAACAAAATGCATAGTATTGTTTTATTTGCGTCTGAAATACGACTTTGTCTTTTCTCGCTGTCATAGTAACTAAGAGCAGAAAAGAGAGTCGCGTTTGTGTCGTCAGCGCAGAAAAGAGCTACACTCTTAAAATGAGAAGCTATTCTGGTAGGAATTTCTATGAGCACTGGCAGCTTTTATTTTGAAAAGACAGATCCATTGCAAAACATCGCATAACTTCCTGTTTAAGACGAGGAAACAACACTGCCTCCTACATCACAAGTTGATAATAAATAAAAAGGTGAGGGAGACGTTAGAAGCAGGGTTTCTGTTCAGGCAGCTGCAGGACAGCCTCTGCTGTTTCATTTCATTGCTGCAGCCTCCCAGCTGAGTGACAGCAGCATGCAGGTCACACTTTCAAACTGCAACACCTCCAATCATGAATCATCATGGTGGATATTTGCAGTGAGTGACTTTAGCTGATATTCAGTGATTTGGCCACTAGGGGGCAGTAACATGGTCAGCTGAAGGCGGTAAAACGGGAAGTCATCCAACAGGATCGGTTCTGACCCAGAGCGGATCAAATCAACAGGTGTGTTCTACCAGAGAATCCTCCCGATCCAGCTTGTCCCAGTCAGAACCAGAACCCAGACTGATACTGGAAACGTCCTGATGGAGTTCTGCAGACGGGATGTTGGGTTCTGGAGGAACCCGGGCCATAAACACTGGGATGGTGGAGTTTACCAGGAGACACCGGGACAGGAAAGGAGGTTTGCCCAGGGCGCCCAGCCGGCTGGGAGGAACGCTTGGTGACAGGAGAGTCCAAACGGGTCCAGCGGCTCTTTTATGCAAAGCCACATCTGAATTATGAGCTAATTTAGTAATCCGGCTCATTCCTACAGAGATAGGAATATTGTGTAAGATAACACCTGCTGTTGCAGCAACAACACCTGCTGCAGCAGCAACACCTGCTGCTGCAGCAACAACACTTGCTGTTGCAGCAGTGTTGTGTTTGCTTGATAATGCAGAGACCTTCTGCTTCATGACCATCTTCATGTTCTCCCTCTGCGTTTTTGAAATGTCAGTTTAAGGTTTAAGGAAATAACTTAATATTGATATAACAACAAATGTTATCATTTTGTACTGTTACTAATTTCTGTTTTGGTGCAAAAACAAACATGTAAACAAGTTGTATTGATCTCATGTATTGCCACTGAAACAGAACAAAGGTTGTGAGGTCAGGGAAGTAATGTGCATTTCAGTTTCATAATCTATTGTGTTAAATGTATTAAATATATGTTATATGTTATTGTGTTCATATAATTATGCATTGTGACTTTTATTCATGTCTTTTGCCGTCAACCTTCTTATTAACAGAACTGCTACTAATATGAATTGTTCCTGTAATAAAAAAGTTATCTCTCTGCACTCATTAAACTTGATTCCCTTTCCTTCATAGCAACAACAGCTGCAGCTGCTGCAGCAGCAGCAGCAGCTGAAGCAACCTGGTGGTTTTTTCTGACCGGTTATTGAACCCAGTCGTCTGGAGTCAGACCCGGTTTGTAGAAACATTAGTTTGATTAGCTGCTCTTGCGCCACACAACAGTTTGCAGCAGCAACTCTCTTTAGTGTGAAAGATGTGACAAAGTGAAAACGATTCAGTGTCCGTCTGACGAAGAGCAGGAAGTGTAAGAAGCTTCTAGAAGAGAAAGTGTTTTCAGCAGCTAACAGGAAGGTTGGTATAGCATTTTACTGTTAAACGAAACTGTTAGCTAATGCTTATGATAAGCACATTAAGGTTAGCACAACATACTTGTCGTTAGTGGTGTCCACCACTGACCATTAGCGATGCTAGCTGTGTTAATAGCTAACATAAGATCCAAAGCACAGCCATAAGTGTCACGTCTGTAATCATGTTTTCATTAAAAACACTCCACAGTTGTGGGATGGGATTGCTAACTCACACAGTGTGACAACGCTTCTTATAAATGGTTTTACTCTGAAGCTGTTCGGATGATCATAGATTATTAATCTGAAACACCTGAAACGCCTGAAACGTCTGCAACGCCTGAAACGTCTGCAACGCCTGAAACGCCTGCAACGCCTGAAACGCCTGCAACGTCTGCGACGCCTGAAACGCCTGCAACGCCTGAAACGCCTGCAACGTCTGAAACGTCTGCAACGCCTGAAACGTCTGAAACGCCTGAAACGTCTGCAACGCCTGAAACGTCTGCAACGCCTGAAACGCCTGCAACGCCTGCAACGTCTGAAACGCCTGCAACGTCTGAAACGTCTGCAACGCCTGAAACGCCTGAAACGTCTGAAACGCCTGAAACGTCTGCAACGCCTGAAACGTCTGAAACGCCTGAAACGTCTGAAACGCCTGAAACGTCTGCAACGCCTGAAACGCCTGCAACGCCTGAAACGCCTGCAACGTCTGAAACGCCTGAAACGTCTGCGACGCCTGAAACGCCTGCAACGTCTGAAACGCCTGCAACACCTGAAACGCCTGAAACGTCTGCAACGCCTGAAACGCCTGCAACGCCTGCAACGTCTGAAACGCCTGCAACACCTGAAACGCCTGAAACGCCTGAAACGTCTGCAACGCCTGCAACGCCTGCAACGTCTGAAACGCCTGCAACGTCTGAAACGCCTGAAACGTCTGCAAAGCCTGAAACGCCTGAAACGTCTGAAACGCCTGAAACGTCTGCAACGCCTGAAACGTCTGAAACGCCTGAAACGTCTGCAACGCCTGAAACGCCTGCAACGCCTGAAACGCCTGCAACGTCTGAAACGCCTGCAACACCTGAAACGCCTGAAACGCCTGCAACGTCTGAAACGTCTGAAACGCCTGAAACGTCTGCAACGCCTGAAACGTCTGCAACGCCTGAAACGCCTGCAACGCCTGCAACGCCTGAAACGCCTGCAACGTCTGAAACGCCTGCAACACCTGAAACGCCTGAAACGCCTGAAACGTCTGCAACGCCTGCAACGCCTGCAACGTCTGAAACGCCTGCAACGTCTGAAACGCCTGAAACGTCTGCAACGCCTGAAACGCCTGAAACGTCTGAAACGCCTGAAACGTCTGCAACGCCTGAAACGTCTGAAACGCCTGAAACGTCTGCAACGCCTGAAACGCCTGCAACGCCTGAAACGCCTGCAACGTCTGAAACGCCTGCAACGTCTGAAACTGAAACGCCTGAAACGTCTGCAACGCCTGCAACGCCTGAAACGTCTGCAACGCCTGCAACGTCTGAAATGCCTGCAACGTCTGAAACGTCTGCAACGCCTGAAACGCCTGCAACGCCTGAAACGCCTGAAACGCCTGCAACGCCTGAAACGCCTGCAACGTCTGAAACGTCTGCAACGCCTGAAACGTCTGAAACGCCTGAAACGTCTGAAACGCCTGAAACGTCTGAAACGCCTGAAACGCCTGAAACGCCTTAAACGCCTGAAACGTCTGAAACGCCTGAAACGCCTGAAACTTCTGCAACGCCTGAAACGCCTGAAACGCCTGAAACGTCTGCAACGCCTGCAACGTCTGAAACGCCTGAAACGTCTGCAACGCCTGAAACGCCTGAAACGTCTGAAATGCCTGAAACGTCTGCAACGCCTGAAACGCCTGAAACGTCTGCAACGCCTGAAACGCCTGCAACGCCTGAAACGCCTGCAACGTCTGAAACGCCTGAAACGTCTGCAACGCCTGAAACGTCTGAAACGTCTGCAACGCCTGAAACGTTTGCAACGCCTGAAACGCCTGCAACGCCTGAAATGTCTGAAACTCCTGAAACGTCTGAAACGCCTTCAACGTCTGCAACGCCTGAAACGTCTGCAACGCCTGAAACGCCTCACCTGTAGATCAGAATGTCGTCGGTGGAGCTGTTGTACTGGATCTGGTACATGCGGACCCCTGGGATGTGGTTCTGTGGCGGCCAGCGAATGACGGCAGAGCTGTAGGTCAGGTCCGACACGCTGACCCGCTGCGGGTCGGCCCTGGGCTGGCCCCCGCTCACGTTGGATTTGATGGATGTGGGGATGTCTGAGGGCCCTGGGTCCGGCTCCAGTTTGGGCCCGAAGTGTGGCGAGGCATTGACCACGAGTTCGACGGGAGCAGTGGCCTCACCAGCTGCGTTGGACGCGATGCACGTAAACTTCCCAGAATCCTTAGGAACAGGAAACAGGAAGAACTCATGAAGAGCGGAAGAGAAATTCAGGAAGAATCGGAATCGGCGAAGCCCCGCCCACCTTGACGGACACCTTCAGGATGTCCAGCGATCCGTTCTCGTAGCAGATGGTTCTGGACGTGTTCCCCATCAGCTTCCCGTCCGGGCTGACCCAGTGCGTGGACGGCTCCGGATCCCCGATGGACTTACAACGCAGGCTGACCTCCTGACCTTCCATCACAAACATCTTGGAGGTGTGGCGCGTTATCATAGGCGGCTCGCAGACAAACTCCTCCTGCAGCACAGAGAGAGGCTCACAACATGGCCGCCGCAGCTCAGACCAAAGTGGCGCCCAGCAGGGGTCACAGGTCAGGAGCTCTCAGGCCTGCTGCAGCCTCATTAACCGCCTCCAGGTGCGGCTTCTAATCCCGCTGCGGCTACAGAACCGAGTCAGAAACAGCAAAACCCGTCTGACTCTGAGAGAAGAGCAGCAGGTCACATGACCCTGTCGCTGCAGCGCCAACTGCAGGAAGATGCTGGCAGCACAGCTACCTCTTGATCCCAGATTTATTCACAACGCCGTCTGCATCAGAGGCTCAGAGAAAACTGCTGGTAGCTGGGTGGACGAGTCAGAACCAGATCAGAACCAGATCAGAACCGAATTAGAACCAGATCAGAACCACTCTCCCACTAGTGGATTTAATCTTAAAATCTAATCTGCAGTAATCTGGTTGTTGAGCCATCAGAGGAAACATGGCGGTTCACTAACACAGCTAGCGAAACATGTTTAGCGTATATGCTAACTGAGTAGCTGCTGAGCGGAAGTGGACTATCAAAATAAAAGCTGAGTCAGACTGAATCGTCCCTGATCCGTGACGTTTGGAACGGCTCATCCAGCTTTTATTTTGGTAGTCCACTTCCAGTTGCTATCAGCTCAGTGTTTGGTTGGATTTGGGTGAACAGTACCGGCCCGGACGGATGGGAGCGAACCTCTCTGATGGTCCAGAAGTACTTCCCGGCCAGGTCTCTGGGGGACGCGCAGGTCTCCAGGTCGTCCTCGCGGGTCAGCCGCCGCAGCCACACCAGCTCACAGTTGCAGTGGAGCGGGTTTCCCCCGAAGCTCAGCACCAGCGCCGTGAGCGGAGAGCCCTTCATCTTGGCGTAGACCGGGATGCGCAGGAAGAGCGGATCCGGGGGGATTTTCTTCAGCTTGTTGGACGTCATGTCCAGCCTGGTGGACACAGAGACACAGTGGGAGAAACATGCCTGCAGCCTGGCGGCCGCTTGGAAACCTTCTTGTTTTTCTCGTCTTTTCTGAGGAAGGAGAAATGTCCAAATATGAGCCCAGAGGACAAAGTATTAGAAATAAAAGCTTCAGGTCCAGACAGTCGACAGGAGGCCAGAGGAGTTGGACTCCCAAATCAGATTTATGGCTTTCTGGCGCTTAACAACAAAGGAGGAGGCGGGAACAGACGGCTAATCGATCGATCAGCTGGGAGGAAGAGGAGGAGGAGGAAGAGTGAGGCCAAGGATCAGCAGAGACAGAGAGGAGCAGCCAACGGCTCGGCCCGGTTCTCCATCCACCCGGATCCAACACCCACTCACACCTGCCGCCTTCAGCCAATCAGGACGCAGCGCTGCCGCCTTCAGCCAATCAGGACGCAGCGCTGGCGGCGCAGCAATGTTAATGCAGTCTACATTAACATTGCTGATTGCTGGAAACAAAGCAATCAGCACATTTCTCTCCTCTGGGCCCAGAAGTTTAGATACATTTAATTTTCAGTGATGCAGCAGAACCAGAACCAGAACCAGAACCAGAACCAGAAGCAGAAGCAGAAGCAGAAGCAGAGGAAGCCCAGCCTGCTGCTGGCGCCCTGAGCTCAGAGCCGTACCTGGCCAGTTTGTGCAGGTTGGAGAAGATTCCTTCGGGGACGCTCTCGATCAGGTTGTGGTCCAGGCTCAGCGTGTTGACGCTCACCAGCAGGGACACCGTGTCCCACGGGATGTCCACCAGGTTGTTGTAGCTCAGGTCCAGGTCCTCCAGCGTCTCCAGGAAGTCCTGCAGGGACAGGACGGTACTGAAGCTCGACCCGCTCCCGGTTCTGATGCAGCAGCAGCGCTCGGTGCCGGGGGTCAGAATGGAGACACCCATCTGGGCCGGCTGGTTCTGATGGAGCCAGGAACCACTTGACCCGCAGCAACTCAGAGCAGCAACTCTGAGCAGCAACTCTGAGCAGCAATATAGATATATAGACTATATAGACTGGACCAAATGTAGACTGGACCAAATGTAGACTGGACCGAATGTAGATTGGACCGAATATAGACTGGACCAAATGTAGACTGGACCGAATGTAGATTGGACCGAATATAGACTGGACCGATTATAGACTGGACCAAATGTAGACTGGACCGAATGTAGATTGGACCGAATATAGACTGGACCGAATATAGACTGGACCAAATGTAGACTGGACCGAATGTAGATTGGACCGAATATAGACTGGACCGATTATAGACTGGACCAAATGTAGACTGGACCGAATGTAGACTGGACCGAATATAGACTGGACCGAATGTAGACTGGACCGAATATAGACTGGACCGATTATAGACTGGACCAAATGTAGACTGGACCGAATGTAGACTGGACCGAATATAGACTGGACCGAATATAGACTGGACCGAATGTAGACTGGGCCGAATATAGACTGGACCGAATATAGACTGGACCGAACGCAGGCTCAGCTGGTCACCTCACTAAAGAACTGCCAGAGCCGGACAGGCCCCTGCTGTGGGGCTTCTACCTGGAAGGCCCCCTCAGAGATGCTGTGCAGCTGGTTGTTGGCCAGGATCAGGTGTCTCAGGTTCACCAGGCCCTGGAAATGCGAGTCGTCCAGGACGGTGAGGCGGTTGGCGTCCAGGTGGAGGGCATGGAGGTCCTGCAGGTCGGCGAAGGTGTAGGGTCTGATCTGGCTGATGGTGTTCCGGCTCAAGGTCAGGTGGATCTGAACCAACACACACAGGATTACGCTGGAAACTAGGAACCCGTCTGGACTGGAGCCGGTTTTGCTAAAACGAAATATTAATGAAAAGCCTGATTGATTGTTTGCAAACCTTCAGATGATGCAACGTTTGATTTCCTTTCTGTTGCATTTAAACTGTTAAACTTTAAAGCCTGATGATGGACTCAGTCTGTCTGACATCAGAACCAGAGTTCCCAGTATCAGTCAACCAGTCAGGCAGGTCTGGAGGCCCCTGAGTGTCTGGAGGCCCCTGAGTGTCTTGAGGCCCCTGAATGACTGGAGGCCCCTGAGTGTCTTGAGGCCCCTGAATGACTGGAGGCCCCTGAGTGACTGGAGGCCCCTGAGTGTCTGGAGGCCCCTGAGTGTCTTGAGGCCCCTGAGTGTTTGGAGGCCCCTGAGTGACTGGAGGCCCCTGAATGACTGGAGGCCCCTGAATGACTGGAGGCCCCTGAGTGACTGGAGGCCCCTGAGTGACTGGAGGCCCCTGAATGACTGGAGGCCCCTGAA